TCAGTACTTCCCTAAAAGTGCTTGCTGGAATAGGTTCCAGACACCAGCCAATTTCAAACAGTTCAGCATTGTTTTCATGCGGCAATGAAAGCCATTGGTGCTGGCCCCTCTGAAGGCGTGGCCCTGGTTTACAGCCATGCAAGACTGTCTTAACATGGACTTGTTCTAGTAATATCCACAAATCCACCTCTGACGCTGTACTACACATTCACCAACCGTCCAGACTGTGCTGCACACAGTTCAGTCCTCTGTTGCAATGATGATCATTAGATCACAGCTGAGTCTCACGCCATTGGCTCTTATTCTAATGGAGCACTGTGGTGCGTCGAAAGTCAAAAGTGAATGTAACCCAATTTATTATGATAGTCAAAGGGAGCATCAATTAAGCACAGGGATTGTTGCAATAGAATACTGATCAGTATTTGGATGCCTGCCCATCAGCAGACCCAAATATGAGATGCAGGCACTTAGCTAGTCATTCCCTGTATGAAGTGCGAGTCTCATCTCGAAAATTGTACTTCACTCCGGATGCTCGCAAACTTGTGTGTTCTAGGGTGATTGATAACACACATTAACATAGATTAAGGGCCAATGTAGCAACAGAGAGTGTATTTGTGTACTCTGAGGAAAACACAAACCTAATAACGAGGCACACAGGGTGCATAAATATCCAACTACTGTCATCCATAGGGGGAAAAAGAGGTTATGTGAAAACTCAAAATGACAGGCCTAAATGTTTCACCCAAAAATAAAGTTAAGCTGTGGAGAAGATTGTAATGTCGAGTTTGTGCCTTTGCAAACTTGAAAGCCTCTCAGATAAAAAGACATAGCAGGCCAAAATAAATAAATAATGATTTTTAGAAAGTATAATAACGTGTCACAGACTTTGAAGTTAGTGTTTGAACAAAAATAAGACTCATTCATGAGATCAACCCAGCATATCACTGTGTGTAATCTCCAAATAGCCCAGAATCTTCCAATGCACTTTCCCTCATCAAACCTCTGACAGATTTGGGTCTCCTGCTGCGTTGTGATGAAGTGGGCTGTTAGATTCACAGTGGTTGCTGCAGTAATTGGTCACTTAATATTTCCTTCTTCTCTCAGGCAACAACAGTGAGTAACATGTAGACAAATATACGAGGTCTGTGTGCTTTTGGTTACCCCAGAGTTCAGTTAATTTTTTAGATATTTCCTCTCATAGCAGCCTTTACATTTACACTCCGAGTGGTAACACTGTCAGGGTCTTTATGTATATTTTAGTTTGATCTCAGACATAAACAGCAAGTAGCTAGAGCCTCCATCTGTGTTGCATGCCTGTTCAGCTGGGCGGTATGTTCTATTTTAAGTCCCAGGGAACTATGCACTGTGTACTATGCTGTCTGCATGCATGTCTGTGTATTTACAGTACATGTTCAGCTTCACTACCATCAGGCTCATTACACAAACTCTTCACATTCACTTCTTCTTTGCAAACAAGCCCAGCAGTGTGATGATGTGAACCATGGCCTTTTATAGCCTGTACACTGCGGAGGGGAGTAATGTGACAATGATGTGACTTCATGTGAAAATACAGGATGAAGAAGAAATAGTGTATATAAAAGCCTTATAAAACACCACAGCAGTAGCAAGGTAGAGGAGTCGGGATAGGGGAGGGATTTGAGAGAATGGGAATCCCTCGTTGTACTATGCATGTTGTCATCTGGCAGTACACTGATGCTCTCACCAGGAGTAAAAAGATTGGAGGAAAAAAACATATAAAATGCCACTCTAGCAAGCCTCCTGGGACCTCAACTGTCTGGCTTTCTGAAGAGGGAACAGCTTGTGCGCTCTAAAAACACTTTTAAAAGACTCCCAACAGAAAAAGCCTGCTTTGCCTCACATACCTATTCTGTCCACGTGGTCCACAGTAACGGCTTTGTATATTGGTTTGGTCATGTGTAACCATCAGCATAAGAAACATGAAAACAAGAAGGTGCTGAAACAGGTAGAACAAGCTGAAACAGGTAGAACAACAGAACTCACAAAGTAACTGATGGTAAACTCACCAACGTGTTTACACAACTATAGTTTCTTCCAATACTTAAGTTTATCAATGGAGGCTCAACAGTCATGTATTTTTACACACATTTTTGGAACCAGCTACAAGCTGCATCTCCACCAGAGAAAAGACAAAAATTGTATTCAGGTCTTCATAGGTTGTCTTGGTTCCTAGGAACAGGGTCCAAATTAGATTCAGTCTAATCGGGTAAGGAAAAATTCCATTGTATTGCTGATGATTCAAAATCATCACAGGACAAAATCTTGTTAAGTGGTGGTGCATCCTAAGGTCTGCGGTAATTATTCTCTCTCCTATTCAATCAGTCTCTGTGGCCCTTTCAGGTGTCTTGTCTGCGAGGTAGATAGCGTTTCGGATAGGCTCCTAAATTTTGGACCTGTGAAGACTTTTCAGAGGTCTCCATCACCCAACTTTTACAACTTTATGAAACTGACAAGGCTACAGCCATGCCCGCTTTCTGCCTGGATTAGCCAGATGTGCAGAGATGCACAAAGCTGTGAAAATTAATTCTTCACAGCCAACTTGAACCTCACAATCAATTCTGTATTGCAGCAATAAAGACAGTGTATTTCCAAATAGGGATGCAACTAATGATTCTTTTCATTATTGATTAATCTACTGATTATTTACTTATTGTTTATTGTATTAAACTTCAGAAAAAAGTTTAAAAAATGCCCATCGCAAGAGCACAAGGTGATGTTATTATTAAACATCTTACTTTGTCTGAACAACAGTCCAAATCTGAAAAATAGTCAATTCACTCTAAATGTGTGGCCAACAAAAGAAACAGAATTTTCCCATTTAAGAACTTGAGAACTTGGTACAATCAAATGTTTGTTGTTTATTATGTAGCTCCTTGTTGATCTCTTGTACCAGGGATTACTTTATCATCTCCTCCTTCTCACAGTGACGAGAACATTATCAACTCAACTTCAAAAAATAGCTGCTCTATAAAAGTATGTGGCTTTAGGTTGTTCCCCTTTTGTTCTCTTCACTCTTGTCCTCAACCTTCTGATTGTGTGTTCATGTGAAACATGATACATTCTGCTGTCAGCTGCTGTCTGCTTCTCAATAATTCAGGGCTTGAGTTTTGTAATACTTGCACCATGCAGCTCCCACGTACAGAGAGGATGTTTGTCTTTCTTCACACAAGCTTGCAGGTAAAGCCGTCTGTGGTTCTAGAGTCATTTTCAATGTTGAACACGAACTTATGTCAAAATATGGGAGATGTAGATTTTATGGTTTTGAGGAGCAAATACATCTTCTAAACAATTTCAACATCCTACTTGGTACAAAAGACAGTTAGCTTTGGTGTCTTCCTTTTCAGCCACCTTTAAATTTGGCGGGGTTCCTCCATCACATGTGGCTGACACATAATAGCTTCAAAGTCACATGCAACTGCAAGGTGTTTCTTACAAAAACTTAAAACCATCAGCAAATGCAAATGGTTCATTGACAGAGTTTGTTATAAATTACCATTTACATCGCCTTTAACTAATTCAGGGACTGGGACCATTTAGGTGTAATTTCACCTGCTACTATTAATTAAGGAACAAAAACGAGCGTGGCTAAGCCAAATGTGCCGCCACCCCATTAATCTCACTTCAGTGGACAGACAGCTTTGAATGGTAACTGAACATTCATAAGAGTTCATGAATTCCCACGATGCATCGTTTCAAGCACACTGCTCTTCAGCAGTTCTGCAATCAAAACTCTGTACACTGTGCTGAAGGAGCAAGTTCTGTGTAATTCATTAAATACTTAAAAAACACCATCATTTTAGTGCACTTGTAGCATTTTTCTTTACCACTGCACTGTTATATAATTAAATACCTACAGGCTATTTGATGTTGTTTTTATCTCAGTTCCCAACAGGACAAAATTATAAATTATAAGGTAAATATGTTCTTTAATGTTTTGGAGTGCTCATATACTGTATTGCCTCAGTAAGCATTATGTGTTCTTGCAGCGAAGTCTACTCAAAATTAGTGCATAACAAAGGCCGCAACTACTCATTTTAAGTTATGGGTCTGTAAGTAAAATTTCATCCCTATTAATATTATTAAATAATTTATTTATTACTGGAAACTTTATTCTCCATATGCAGATTTATATGCTTGCTTGAAGACAGATTTCACATTTTTTGTTCAGTTGACCTGCTGTAGAGAGGCAATTTTCTCTATTTTCCCTAGAATTAATTCCAAATTACTCAGATTTTCCAGGAAACCTTTTAGGGATTATGAAATGATCCAAAAATGATGGACCTGTAAATTAAAGCTCTACCCAACTAATTAAAATTAATGATTATTTTTCTCATTTAGATCAAGTAATTGTTTGGTCTATAATTTAATATCAACCAAAATGATACCTTCAAGGTCACAATTTCCTATCGGTCAAGACAACCATTTCAAGTTGCTTGTAGTGTCTTAACAACAGTCCAAAATCAAAAGATATTCTATTTAATATAATATAAAACAGAGAAAAGCAGCATATTGTAACATGTGAAAAGCTGGAACTAGGTCATATCTGGCATGGTTGATTGAAAAACAACTTAAACAATTAATTGATTTGCAAAAAGTTGATTCATTTTCATTTAGTCGACTAATTGATTAATCAACTAACCATTTCAGCTCAATGGCTAATTTACTATAAGACATGAATAAGATGTGTTCTAAACTTTTGATAAGACAGTATCAAGTACAAACATTTCTCCTGTCAAAAACTGTCAAGATAGGGATTTCTGCAAGCCCCATCGTTGCCAGAGTGCCGATTTTACTTAAAATGAATGTCCAAGCCATCCTGTTGAGAAAACCTAAGGACAGATTTCAGAAGGCATCATGGGAGCTCACTGCCAGACAAGCTGTCCACATAGGGTGGAACTTCCACAAATCCTAATCAAATATCTTAATCTTTTTCCTCTCTCTGCTTGTCTTGTTCCCATCAGGAGTCCTGACTCCCAGCAGCAGCCATGTGAGAGGAGCTGTCAACAAGCAAAGGATGCCCACGTCCAGCTAAAGCAGAGCAGCCCCCTCCCCCTCCCTCCCTTCCTCCCACTCCCTCCCTTCCACTCCCTCACTTCTTCTTCCCACATGAGGACGAGAAGATGACTATCACCAGCCGGCAGTCCTTCAATGTCCTGACGGTCATCTTCCTCCTGCTGTCCACTGCAGGTCTGTAAAGTTTAATGTGTGCTTATCAGTGACTCTGCCTGTCTGGTCCTCAAAAGTTCTTTTTTTTTTTTTTATAACAGGAGGCTCCAGACACACATATAAGAGTTTTATGTTGGGCTCAAATTAGGCATGCTTGGAGCAGTTTCTTCAAACTTTCTATGCTCCAAAATGTGGGTCTCAGTCCTACAGAGTGAGCCACTAGTGCCATGAACTAAATACAGGAAACACTCCCAAAAGACACAGTGTTGTGGATAGATGCTGACATCTGATGGCCAGGAGATAAGTCAGAGACTCTTAACATTGAGGGAAACATCTATTGCCAAAAAAAAGTCCACTTGGCAGGAAAAGCTCTGAAACTTATGGTACTGTCTAAATGAGGTCATGCAGCATAAAACTGTGAAGAGAGCACATTCTAACTGCAGAGAGGTACAAAAAAGAGAAACCCAGCCAACACGTATCTCTGAGATATATACATTATGCACAAGGGAAAAAATGCCAACACAAATTTAAAAATGACAAACTAGGGCAAGAGGAGGATGGAGTGTCGGAGGGAGAAGTCAGCACAGCAGCTAACGGAGCATGTAGCAGGTTGGAATAAATGGGAAAAGTGTGATTGAGACTGTGATGACCACATCCTTCAAGAGCATTTTAATAGCAGTTATTTTAGTTGAATACATAGAGGGGTGTCGGACTGGGGAAAGGGGACTGAGTTTACAGGGCCCTCATGTGAGGAGGGCCAACAAAGATACTAGAACGAATAGCTGTGGATGTGGGGAGTGGACAACAGAGAATGTTTATGTACAGGGTCCAGGTTTAATGACGCCCCTAAATACATATACTGTACAACAAAAGCACAGTCGTGAAATACCACTGTCATTGGCATTCAGAAAGAATGAAGTAGACCTTTCCACACCACTGATTAATTTCAGTTTTTCTATGTCTTGGCATTTCCCAGATCAAGGATTTTTCAGAAATTATTTTTGGACATAATTAGTCAATTTTCTTTGGAATAAGGAAAATAACTGCTATTACAGTTAACACTATAGACTATAAACCAAAATCAATTGATACAGTTAAGTATTGTAAGGGTTCCCACTGTTATGACCCCTGGAAAGGATCTTTTCAAAAGGAGGTCCAACACAACTAAAAGAGTCAAGTAGTTGCAGAAAAATAAACATTACATTTATTTATAAATAAGAAAAAATACTATAAACCAACACCAACATCACACAGAGGATCTGGGTTAGAACTAAACATTACAGAAATATAGCTGTGAAAAGAGGACTACTGAACCATGGGAGTATGTAACAATACAATAAAGTGACTGTACATCTAACCTCCAAACTTTTTATACTTTAAAGAGGTCATATGATGTTTTTTGGCCTTTTCCCTCTTTTTTATTGAGTTATATGCCTTTTTTGTGCTTGAAATAGGTTTGCAAACTGAAAAAGCCCAAAGTCCACCCCGAAAGGAATTCCCATCTCCCACAGAAAACACTGCTCTGAACTGCCTGAAAACAGCTCGCTAAGTGGCTAGTCCGACACACCCTCAAAAGCACCAGGGGAAAAACACACTAAGCTGCAGCACACAGTGACAAGATGTCTGCCTGCTGCCTCTCCTCTCCCTTCCAAACACTAGCTACCCTCCAGTCAGTCAATGAACATAAAGTTGTTACTGTGATGTAGAGACAGAGGTCAGTTAAAACTTAATAGATGACAGATACAGTTGTTACAGATTAGTTACACTCAAACTGTTGCTCCAGTCCATGTTGCTAAGCTGGCAAGGGGAACATGTACAGCTGAATGGAGGCCGTGTTTACCGGCTTCTCACAACCTGCCATACTCTGCTTCTGATTGGCTAGTAGTCCTTAACTAGGAACTGTGCATGTGCAACTCCCAACAAAGATCTTGTATAGGTGAGATGCATCACTCCATTGCTATAACTCTCAGAACGTTCAACACACAGGGTGAAAAGGGGAGCTGCTGCAATGTGCACAAAAATATGGTGTTTTTTGAAAATGAAACCATGTAAACCGTTCCGGTACAACCTCTAAATAAAATTATGAACCTGAAAATGAGCATAATATGACCACTTCCATTTTTTAAAAACTTATTCTTAAAATACTATGCATTTAACTAGCATATCACATCCAATATTTAATATCAATTAATCTGCCATTTTCTTGATCTATATGTTTTTTTTGTATATAAAATGTCAAAAAAGTAAAAGAAATTACCATTAAACAGTCCAAAACCCAAAGATATTCCATTTACAATGATATGAAAGGGAGAAAATAGTAAATTCCTACTTTCAAAGCTAGAAACCAGCAAATGTTTGACATTTAAAAAAAATTTAATAAAATATAAAATTACTACAATTTTTTATTTTATTCATAAGTTGATGACATGAAGTATGATGCTACTTTTCCCTATGCTTGCATAACAAAACTGAACCAAGGACATAATTGTGACTGATCCTCATAGTCTGTAGCTGTTTTTTCATGTATGATTAGCAGCAAGAGGTTACATAATACATAGCTTAAGGTAAAGGAATTGGAAATTAATTTTACAGTTTATGTATACTCCAAAGGATTGAGCCACCTGTTTACTTGAACACTGAATGAAATGCATTCACATCTAAGCCAATGTTCCCTCCATGTCTCAGAAGAAAAACAACAAACTGCGGGTGTGAATGCAGCATAAATAAATAAATATGACGTGTGAGCACTGAGTGATGTTGCTTGTTGTTGGGGGAGTGGGAGAGAGTCATAGCAGCTTTCTGACCGCAGGTTGTAAACAGACTGCAATGCAAGAGCCAAGCTGTTAACTGTTTCTTAAATTTCAAGGAGGTGTTAATGAAATTAAGCAGGTGGGTGTTTTTACAATTGTATCGTTTACAGAACCAGCTGTTTTTCATTTGAGTAACTTCCCCCAATTGGGTAACTTCCCCCTGAAATTTTGCATTGTTAGAGGACTTTTTGGTTTCCGTTGTTGAGGGTGTCTGTTTCCTTATTGCTAGTTCACCTACCCATGACTGCTGACTGCTTTATATGCAAGGATTTTTGGGATATAAATGTGAGTTGATTGCAGAACCATTTCACTGATTCACTGACCTGTACAGTCAATGCAAAGGTCAAATGAAGAGTTTTCTCTCACCATATAAACCACCCTTGACTTCTAATCCTACTGTGTCCTTCAGTACTGCTTCATTTTGCTCCCTCTTCTGCTAAAATTAGGGTTGTCAAAGGGAAGATGGCTGGCCACAAGCTCATTATAACCTGAAAGAGCCCTCTCCTTTCAGATGCTGATCTGTCCCTGCCTGAGATTACTGAAAGACTTCTTTCACCCCGCAGCACAAGTGGACCTTGAACTAAATCACAGCAGCAACACTTACTACTGACAACACTGCCAGATTTTATAGGCTCCACTGATGAAAGGAAACACAACAAGGCAAAGACAAATCAGTTACAATAAAACAAATCTGGGTGCACTTCACATAAAGTTATGCATAGACTGAGAATGATCAAGCAAAAACAAAAAAATCATTGCTGATATCAGCATCCGATTTGGCTTCTAGGATTTTATAATCTGTCAGATTCTGATTTATGGCATATCTTGTGTTATCTGTCTTATGTTGTTTCTCTGTATCTCACTGTTGCTGGTGCCTACCTTGACCAGGGCACACTTGAAAACGTTTTTTTTAATTTCAATAAGCTTTCCTGGATAAATGAAAGTTAAATATAATTAAATCAATAAAAATCAAACACACTGTATTAAGCACAGAAACACATGTTTTGGTCACGTGTAAAGAAGAACGTTTGTTTGGATCATGCACTCCAGGCAAACATTCTTCGTCTTATTACTAGTAATGGAAGGTGAAAGAGTGATAAACCGCTGACACTGATTATATCTGAAGGTGTTGAACAAGTGGGTACATCCTGGGCCATTGTGATGTGCATTAACTAGCGTCAGCCCTGTAATCTGACATTCATATGTGGTTCATTTCTCTGACGGATTTGTAATTTATTATTATCAGATGGAGTCTCAGCTGCTGCTAAAGTAGATCCCTGTGATTTCATTTTCAAGCAAAAATGTATTAGTTGCCAGATTCTGTAACAGAAACAATATTGTTTTTTCTCTTTGTGACAGCAATGATGCAGAGATTTATCTCCTCCTGAAGCTGCAGGGACTTGAATGCGCAACCACAGATGAAGGCAAATAAGCTGGTGTACTATTTGTACCACATAATTTTGTATTGCTCCATAATAAACTCGGGACTCTGCCATCCTGTTTGACTTCAGCTGCCAAAAAGAAGTAGGAGTCTTTGTTAGGGTCACTTAAGCTTTGATGTACACGTAAAGAGACTGGTGCAGTCCTGCTTCTTTCATTAGAGTTCAGTTCATGTTGTAATGTGGAGCAAGAAAATACTCCATACTTTTATCTCTTCTGTGTAACTCTTTATTCTGGCATTGACCAAAAACACCATTAAGGCATTTGCAATATAATGATGACATAACAAGTTGTGTAACCGGTCTGAGGTGCATATTTGTTGTTTCCATGAAGAGGCAGTGACACTCTTATGTTTGCATGACCTGATGAATGACCAGATGAATTAGATGTACTCAATGTTTTTGGGGTTGTTGATGTGTTCCCTCAAGAATAAAGGGGAACCGATTAGTTGTTTAATCAGATGTCTCTTCTCAGATTATTTTTGCTAGTACACTGTTTGTTTTCTGTTCTACACCATGACTGTTATGTGTGCTGTCTCCACTCATGTCTTTTCTGAGGCTTCCAAATAAAATAAAAAGCATTCAGTACTTTGTTTTGTAGTTTGGCTGCAGCAGGTGGGAATGTGTTTCAAAGGGGAGCTGTTTTCCATCAATAATTCTAATAAGGGGTTGTTATTTTTCAGAGTACAAACTCTGCCTCAAAAGGTCTCAAGTCACATTTCAACTGAGTATGTCTCCTGTGGCACCAAATTACCTCCTTCCTAACAATTTCGGAGTAAATTTTACATCTAAATCTTTGTCTTCCCCCAAAACTGCAGCCCTCTCAGCTCACTATCGAGTGTGTGAACCCTACTCCGACCACAAGGGGCGTGACCACTTTGGGTTTCACTGCCCACGCCTCTCAGACAACAAGACCTACATGTTCTGCTGCCACCACAACAACACCGCCTTCAAATATTGCTGCAACGAGACTGAGTTCCAGATGGTCATGCAGATCAACCTCACCACCACCTCAGATGGTTACGCACACAAGTGAGTAAAAAAAACACACAACCACACTGCCATTTGACCCCTTTACATGGTGCATCTGCCCTGTTCGGTGTCATTAGTCCTGTTTTCATTTTATTTTTTTGGTTCAATTTAATTTGGGTTTTAGGAAAATTACTGAAGATTTTAATTTGAGGAAAATACAATAAGTGTTAATATGGCATTATTATCTAAATCAACACTGTTCTCCAGCAACATAAGGTGTAGAAAAATAGTGAATTTTATTTTTACCTGGTGATTGAGCAGAAGATGCTCAAAAAATTCAGCTTATATGCGCTGTTGACCTATCAGTAAACTAAGCTGATAAATAAAAATGGAGGAGAACACTAGCAAGCAAAGACAAAGGTTCAGAGGAGCTGTGTGTGGAAATAGCCACCTTTCTCTACAGCAACAAATCTGAAGTCTCACCTACTGAAGTGGAACAGTGTCAACTCTACAACCTCGTCTGATTGCCTTCTTTCCTCCACACTCATCCTCAGGTCCCTTGCCAAAAGCTTGTAAAAAGGCCATCACCGACACATAGCGCAGTTGTAGGACACCACATAGGAAGATATAAAGGTTATACTGAAGGGTGAGACACTCTCTCTGGCCACTGACAGATGCACAACACAAATTCCGTGTTAGTTGGAATTCTTCCAAACTTGACTCTTTGAAAGACTGACAGCCCTAGGATATACTCTATGTACTGTGCTGTAATTTTATTATGCCATAGAAAGCCCTTGCAGAGTACGTACCTCTGACCTAGGCTGCTATTCTAAATTTGTCAATTTCTAAACATTTTCTGGTATTAAAGTTTCAGTCTACATGTGGATCTGCATCAAAATTCACACGATGATGGACATGATGATATACATTAATTACCAAACAGGTCTACCAAGCTAAGGCCCATGGATCCAAGGGGTCAATGGGCCCCTTTGCCAGTGTGACTGTGTTTTTAAAGACTGTTGAACGTTTTATTGTTAGAAAAAGACAGGGCCTAGTAACAAGAATGGATGATCCAATTATGTTTGGTTTTTTTGCTCATTGAGTCCTTTAATAATGGGTTTTTTGGTTGAGTAAGTCCAATCCACTTATTTTATTGTGTTTTTGGTTATTCCCAGCTAGTGGACTACAAGCCTTTGATTTTTTTTTTAGGAATATTCAGACTTTCTGACTTGACAGTCTCATGACCACCAAGTTACTGCCATTCAAACTGATCATGTAACAGTCATGAGATTTTGCAAGATCTGTCACAGTGTAAAATGCATGTTTTTAAACATGCAATTGCAATTTTTTAACCATCATAGGAAAACGCAATGACACATGAAAACTAATTATTAGAGCATCCAAATATACTTCTATTATGTAGCCTATTTATAATTTGGTAGAGATAGCATAAAATGTATAAAACAATAAAACAATTTTTAGGCAACACTTCTTAGGCAGAAATGTACGAAAGCTGTTCTGATTAACCTTGAAATTAGCAATGTTGACTGTAAAATATCAAAAACAATCTTGAAAAAAGGCCCATTGCAATGTGACATCTTAAAATGTTTGTTTGACCAAGAGTCCAAAACCCAAAAATATTGAGTTTACAATAATATATGACAAAGAAAAGCAAATCCTCACATTTGAGAGGCTGGAACTAGAGAATGTTTGGCATTTTATCACAATGTTTGTTTAAACAATGATTTATTAATGATCAAAATACTAATTTACTAATTCATTAATCAACTAATTATTGCAGCATTAAAGCAACACAGGAAAAAGACAGGATATTTGCTTTTATGCCTCTTGGTTCAGGAGTATTGAGCCAACATGTGAAGTGCTTTATTAAAAGCCATATTGCAGAGCTATCTATATCAAAACCTAATCCGTTCTTCTTTGGGCCACTTTATACCAAATTACATTGGAATCTGTTGTGTCATTTTTTGAGATATCTTGCAAAACACAAACAAACAGGACCAAAACATAACCTCGTTGACTTGGTGGAGGTAATTGGTTGTGCTGAATCTTGAGTTGAGTTTTATGGGAACAGTTTCAGGGGATGACATTTCCTCAGATCTGATGAAAACAGGCGGTTATAGTCTGCCTGCTCACAAACGTTTTGCTCTCTTGACAGTATCACGCTCATTCACACTGTTTGCTTATTGCTCATTGATCCACACCTACAGAGTCAAAACCAGCACAGAGAGAAGCAGGTGCTGAAAGCAGTTGTTGCCCCCACATGATGGCTCACAACGGCTGGTGTTAACTTTATATCAAGTATCACTATGGTATCCTATCATAGCACAGATATCCATACGCAAATTATAGTATTTAGTAGTATTATTAATAGCAAACCATACTACATATGCCATGATATGATATTTTCACACATAGACCTGAAGATAACACTTATTTGTTGCAGGATATGCAGGATTTAGACTGGGTGAATGACATTATGGAAAATGAGCCTCCTGTTCTGTGAGACGTTTGGGTGACAAAACCACAGCTCTCCCAGTATGCTAACTAATGCCCTCCCAGTATGCCTCTGTCTCGAACGGTTCACAGTGCCCTGCAGCAGGTCATGATATTTCATTTTAGTGTCAGATGGCCCATTGGGCCACTCTTTCATCCTGGCTCACTGGGCGATAGGACTGCGGGTTTGATATTTAACACTGGCCAACAGAGTTAAAATGGCCATAATTCCGTTCTCTCATCACACTACAAGCTGAAAATGGTATTATAGCTTGAGATTTACTGCAGTTGGAGGTTATACTAAAGGCGTTTGCCCACTGAGGGTTTCACAAGCAGTATATATCTCTCCATGTACTTACAGAGTAGCTGAAATGCTGCAGAATCGAAGTAAATTCAGAGTGGAAGAATCATCTGAGAATAAAATTTTAAAACAGCAACAAGAAGTGCTAGAAACATTTGACAGATAATCAATAATTGCATTTGCCTTCCTTCTCTGAGGAAGCTGTGTTAAATATTGAATAACATTTGTTTTAGTTGTGTGCTCATGATCGATCCCTCCAACAACTATGCACATATTCTTGTTTGCTCAACCCCAGGTTGACTCAAATATATTCCTACATGGAAAGCCTGTTGCCCTCTCAAATTACCTTAGTAGGCATACAAACTAAATGATAGGTAAATGTCTCAGATGCAGAGGTGAGGAAAAGTAAATGCAGTTAAGGATGCATTTAGATTTGAGTGCAGTAGTGGCATTCACTTGTCTTAGTGCTCATTCGAGCAGTTCAGATGTTCGTTTTATAGCCATTTATTCAGATAAATATCCCCAAGGCCACATCATTTTCAGACAGAAGTGGATTCCCTTGATTAACTGAACTAGAAGCACTTGGACATCACTCTTTACAAGGGCTTCAGTCAATGGAGTCAAATAAATTGAAAAGTGTGCCGAAATGACATAAAAGATGAGTTTCCCTGCAAATAAATCTCTATTGAGAAGTAATATCCTGTGCCATTTCTGTCTTTCAGACCCAGATAGATCTCTAATGGAAGCATCCTGATAGGACTGGGGCTCTTTCAATTTGTGTGATAATACCCTACTAAATGTCCTTAGCACCAGAAACAGTATTTAGTATCCTTGTTTTGGCAAACTTTCTGTTTGCACATTTACCTTACTGTATTTATGGATGTGGGTGGACAAAACAAAAGTTCAAATGTTCCCCACATAAATCCAGCTGGATAATGTAATACATGAAGACAATTTATGAGGTGAAAACTGGGAGCACAGATTTTCAGTGGTGCTATGGAGGAGCCAATATGAGATGGATTAAAAAGTCTTTTGCACAAATGAAATTCTTTGTCCAATTTAAGAAGCAGTATTTAAAAAGCAGCAAATAGAACAGATGGAGTGTTTTTAATATATTTATTTCTTTATTTAACTGCTTTTATCAAGAGAGGGTTTGAAAACCTTGGTCTTGCTACATGAACAGCAAAAATGAACATCTGGCAGCTCTATCATAGCTACTGGAATTTAAGGGCTCAGCTTAAGGGTATCTGGATTGTGTCTCTGAGCATGTGAGAAGTTTTTCATCATCTTTCCCAGATCACACTGTGCTAATACTCCCAGTCTGTCTCTCCTGCAGTAATTATACGGCTCTGGTCGGCGTGTGGATCTACGGCTTCTTCGTCATGGTGCTGCTGGCACTGGACTTTCTGTACTACTCAGCCATAAACTACGAGCTCTGCCGGGTCTACCTGGAGAAATGGGGTCTGGGAGGACGCTGGCTGAAGAAGGCTCGGAGTCAGTGGCACAGATCCATGCCAGAGGAGAGCGAAGCCCAGGCTCAAGCCCAGCCTATGGTCCCCAGCCACTACCAGCCCCGACACAGCCTCAGAGGGGAGAGCCACAGCCCCACTCTCCTTCCCTACAACACATCCACCGCATGGTGAGTCTGTCTGTCTGACTGTCTGTCACCTGTTGGGCACGCATGTCCTGTGTTCATGTAAAGCTGCAAGAATTAGCAAATAGTAAACTAAGATTTGTGTCACAAATCTCCTGGGTTTCTACCGCTGATGGCTTAATAGAAATGTCTCAATGGTAGAGGTGGCAATGTGCAAATATATGACATAACAGACAGATGGGTAGCTGGAAAAGACTGTTGGTGCAGATGAGGCCATTATACAATCTGATGATGTAGCGATGTTTTAAGTGATTACGGTCAAGTCCATTATATGTACAAAGCCCAACACCAGACATTTTCTCAGAGGGCTTTATAGTCTTGACAACGTAGACACCCTCTAAACTTTGAACCTCAATTCAGATATAGAAAAAATTCCACAAAAAACTTTATTTTATTAACTTTATGATGATTTCGATCCTCCTGATAGACAGCCGTGCAATAGTAGACATGTGTAGGCTTTGCCATATTGGTTGTTACCTTACTCCAAGGCCATCAAGGTATAGTTTGACTATACCAATTTAGTTAACCTACACAACTTTTGTGTTATTTTGTTGGATACCTAGCAAGTCATCTCTTGACTCTGAGATTTAGCAAAACACTTTCTAACTTTGCAAACGCATGCACAGCGAGGTGCAGACCTGAACTTCGATGCAAATCTAGCAAAACTGTCCCACAGCTCTTCTTTGATGGACTTAATTTAGCAAAGAAGCCAATTTTTATGTCAGATCCACTGTTATGTAATCCAGCTCAGTTTACAACATCACAGTGATGGCTGATGGAATACTCTGCTGTCAACACAAAACCCACTGGATGTATAGTATTTATATGTATCATTGGTGAAATTTGCAGTTTCCACTCAGTTTTTGATACTTGCAAAAAAAATTTAAGAGCACCAAAACTGACAGACCTCGAAAAAGACCTCGAAACTGACAGCCATACAGTAGGATGTGTTAAATAACCCTGTGCTGACTATCACAAAATTCAATTAGTCCTACTCTGTGAAGCGTATTACAGTGCAGACACTCTTGTTTTTATTTGGAAAAGCAATACGTGTAACAGATGATTTTCAAGGGTCTTTTTCAGAGATGTTCTTTTACTTCAATCCTTTTTTAACACAGTTGCTCTCTATGTCTCATTTTGTGTCTGTCTGTCTTTCTTTTTGTACGCAGTGTTTTGTTACATAGAGAAAAACATGACAGGGAAACAGTGTGTCTACCAGGACAAATTAGAGCATTTCTAGCATACTTTTCCAAAGCCAACTGGGAGGAATCTCAAACATCAGGCTCCCTGTTTACTTAAATTCCTTGTTAAGAGTGCACCGTGCACACAAAGACACACACACACACACACACACACACACACACACACACACACACACACACACACACACACACGATTACTGCCTACCAATTATATCGCTAACTCTGCTCCTTTCAAAATCATAGCGACTTTCTGGTAAAGAATTCAATATATGGTTTCCTTCTGACTAAGGAATACAGAGTTTATCAATATTTTAAGAATTCTGCCCTTTCGCCCACTAATGGATAATTTTCTGCAAAGCATCTGATATGTATTTGTATTTCATCTCAAAATAGCTGCACGCTGTCTCTACGTCAACCTCTTTTTTAAAGATACATTTTCTTGGTTTTAAGTTTGACCAGCTCATTAGGGAGCTGTCATTATTAATGAATAGAAGAGAACAGAATAATATGAAGGCTTCACTGCCCACAAGGGGCCTCTAACTCATATTTAACCTGAATGGTTTGACTCTGTGTCATCGGAAACATTCTCAAAACACCCTCTGCTGTCCTTTCAGTGTTATCTTTTTGTTACCTTTGAGAGCAGTCACAGGAGTCTCGGGGTGTGTAAGGTTGTGAGATGATTTACTATCTTCTTTTTGGCAGTCATTGTTGAGACTTTCATAATATACCTACACAATCATAGAGCACAGTCTGAATAGACCTACATTTTTGCGCAGTCAATTTCTCATTCAGTTCTCTGTCTCAGACACTGTACACCCTATCTGTCTGACTGGGACTCAGAGTCCCTTCCTAGAGGTAGACATCTCTCTCGGGTCATGATAATTTAATGTAAGCAGAGGTTTGACAAATGGCTTTCAGAAGCAGTGTGGACCGTGCAAGTCAAAGATAGGAGGAGCTGGATGCTGCAGAGGGACGCTGGAGCTGCTCTGCTGGCGGAAACATAAGACTGGAGGTATCCATGGAGCCTACTCATTAGACATGAAGTCAGTTCAGTATGATAGGACTCATCAATCCTAGACTTATTAGGCTGACCTGTGCTGGCAGCTCTCCAGCTTTAAGCCAGATGACGTCTATAAAAAGGTGTTTAAAACAGCAGGAAAATCCTCATTGACAAAGTGGACCTAGATAAGGAGTTCATGGTAATGCATGATGACTGATGGGAAATGCTTCAGGATGGATTTTCTATTTCTTCTTTTACCTTTTCTATAAAACATGTTTTAATAAACAGGACAGCATTTACAAAGAGCTAAGAATATTCTTGATAATCACTCCCATCAGTAAAAAAAAAAGAAGAAGAAAAGTGACAGATGCTGAGAGCTAAATTCAGTCACAAGCCTTTTCTGGGGCAAGATTAGAATAGCCTGTTTGCAGTTTCACACAGTAAAGCACTTCTCACAGTCCAGATAATGCTTACACTTTTTGTTAAATGTGTTAAGTAACCACGATCGCTGATACTGTACATATACCACAGCTGATGTTGCCCACACAGTGCGTCATCAGATGGCCTTTGGTTTATTTGCGGGGGTACAGATCTTTATCCCCAGAGAGGATGCAGGCTAAATGGCTCAGAAAACTGGGTCCACTTTGTTGAACATCTGTTGGCCAAGTGTAAACAAACAAAGATGGGGTCAAATCCCACAACTGACGAAGATGCATCTAAAAACAACCCAGTCGCACAGTAACTCAGGAATCCAGCACAAATGGTTACTAGTAATTGGAGCAATCCTGACAGCAAGTATCGAATAATTTCTCCACATGCAACGATCTGTTTCTTCAGAAAAAGTGCAGCTTGGTGTTCAGCATGTGGGAATACTACTTACCATATTGCTACGTGAGCGGGCTGGTATATACTGCTGCATATCTGCTGGGGGTTCAGTGAGGGCGGCCTGGGAAACTTATTACGTTCTTTCCATGGATACGATTTATTAAAATCTCCTTTTTGTGGATTCAGACCAGTTTCAACCAGTTTCAACTGCGACTACGTTTACCAGCTAGATGAGAGGCTAGTCGTATATATATATTTTGTACTATACGCTGTTGTTCATAAAGAAGGGATGGGCAGTTCTTTCATGACTTTTGGTTGCTTCTCAGCCATTGTGTTTGCAAAACTTCTGAAGCCGTGCTGAAGTAGTGCTGTGCAGCGTGTGCACAAGCAGTGATTGACACTGCTTTAGAGACCCCCTCCTGGCTCTGATTGGTTTTTGTGACCGGGAAGCTGTGGATCCTTGCAAATGGCATTAGGAGCAGTAGAAGGTACCAGTGGAAACAGATTTTTTTTCACAGGTTATTTGTCTCATGTACTACTGTCAGGATATAGTGACAATTTTAGCAAATATGACAAAAAGTAATATTTAACCAAATTCCCTACTGCTGCTTTAAGTGGTAGTACTGTACACATGCAAATGTGAAACTTCTGGAAAAGAGACCAAACATTGTAAATTCTGACATCTGACAGGGCTCAGCTATCACATTGCCACAGAAAAATAACATTTTGGCACCACAAAAAAACCCTAGCAGGGTTTTCATGTACCCCTTAAATGGCTATAAACCATTCCCGGGAGCTCCTGCACTATCGCTGTAAAGGGCTCAGCAGCATTAAAGCCCTGATTGGTTGTCCACTCGTGGTTATTAGGAGATTTAAAGTTTGGCCAGGTTCCCAGTTTGTGCCAGCCCTCTTTGACCAGTAGTCTACCTCAAGCAATTAGTGGTACTGGGGAGCAGCAGCATCATCTGGGTATCTTTACACCAGAAGGAGAATTGGAGCTGTGGAATATCCTATGTTATCACTTATTTCACATTCCTTTTGGAGTGTGCCAACTCTGATACTCCCTTTGCAGAACTGCAAGAAATATCTGATCTGCTGTCATCTCAGTCTGGCTTTACTGCATATTTTACATAAATTTAGTTTGTCTTTGGTCAGTGCTGATTAAAACTTACTGATCAAAACTAGCTGAAAAAATAAGCTGCCTTTTTGCTCATGTTTGGTGGCAGAATTAAAAATACAACGTGTCCACAGTGTACCCCTTTTATCCAATCTGAGCCTCCCCCGCTACCCTCAAGGCTAGCTAATGGATGGATGGACGTATTACTCAGACACATTATTAGGGTTATTGCCAAATAGATTTTCATATACAAGGAATTTTGCTTTGGTATTTTGCTGCACAATAATAACCATAGCAAGAGAAAATAAAGAAAGATTAAAAAAAAAAAAAACAAGTACTACAAAAGTCAAGAAGTATAAATAGAAAATAGAAAACCTGACAATACAAATATGAAAAAAAGAGAGTTGGTACATATATATATGAAAGAATGAGCAGGAAAGTACAAAATGTTGACTAAGTCACAGTATGAAGTATAAGTAATAAGCAATTTGCTTAATGTGCAGAGATACTTGTCTCAAAAATATGTGTTTACGTAACACATTGGAGACTGTACATTAATGTGATGTGTAGTGTCTGTCGGGTAGGATAAGATTAAGTGTCACTGTCAGGGGTCTTGTTGATGAGGCTAGCTGCAGACAGAAAGAAACTGTTTTTGTGGCATGAGGTTTTGGTCCTGATGGCCTGTAGTCTCCTGTAGGAGTGAAGTGTCTCACAAGGTTTGTGTTCAGGATGGGATGGGTCAGCCACAATCTTTCCTGCGTCCTGGAGGGTACAGGTACTGGAGGGGTGGCAGATTGCAGCCAGTCACCTTCTCAGCGTTTGTTTAATGAGTCCAGAGCATCAAGCAGAAATGCCATAGAAAAAAGTTGGAATAATTAGATGTTTGATAACATCAAATGGCACCACTGCACATCAACCAGAACACAAGGGTGATTCATAAATCACTTGGCCCCAAAAGTTGGAATAATTAGATGTTTGATAACATCAAATGGCACCACTGCACATCAACACAGCAGCACTTCTTGCCAGTAACCACCCACTCACTCAAGGTTGGTAGCTTAGCCATGGATAGGGCAGTCCATGTGAGGCGGCATCTGTCCACATTCAGCATATACCTGAGTCACCAGCAATCGTAACACTGCCTCTAACAGACACTGTAACAGACCTCAGTGACTCACCAAGTCTAGTAAATGGAGCCACCATCACTTCGGTCATAGGTAACCATCCCTAACATCAACACTTAAACACCTGCCAGCCTGCTGCATATGCTGTCTGCTGGGGAAATGACACTCCGCTACACTCTGCTCTACTCAGGAAGCTGAAACAGCATTTGTTTATATTTGGGTGGGGGGGCAGTTCTGTCAAAGTGATCAAAGCCTAGCAGTCTCCTGCATATTCACATCCATATTTGAACTCACTGGTTGACTTTCTGTGGTAATAATAGAATTGTACATTATGAAATTATTCCTGGCCTGTCTGTCCACAGTGCTGCATGCCAAGACCTTGTCCAATTAAAGCAACACCCTCCATGTGGTGTGAGTTAATTAACATCATAGATGCTACAAAGGCAGCCAGGCAGAGAGTTCTGCTGCAGGCTAAAGGGAAAGAGCAGCAGAACAGGTTTAGCTCTTTGGAAGTTGTAGAATCACTTCTAGCATTACCACAAGCAAGTGGGGTAGCTGCAATTTTATTTTGGTTCTGTGTTTGTGATGTTATTAGATCTTTGTCACACATTTACATTGCATTTTAGTCATTTTCTCTAGAGTGCATTAGAATGTCATTGAAGTTCTAAAAGCACACCAAGTTAATGAGCACAAGCCTCAATGTCTCATCACCCTGCTAGTAACAAATATCCCTGTTTATACAAGAATAATGTGAGGAGATGGAAAGTTTTATCTTCTCATTAACAATGTAGTTACATTATTGTTGCCAGCAAAAATCTTTGAAAATCTTTACAAGAATTACAGACTTGTAAAATGTTTCTGTAAATGTGATTGTTTTTTGAAAAGCAAAGCTGCCCCATTTTATTAGTCTTTGTGTTTTCAGGACTTGAGCTGATTTTCAAGCCAATATGTTGTTATATAAAGTCAATGCGGACCATTAAGCTCAAAGCTCACACATTGGGACCTGAGACAACCATGTCCGTGTTATTCAGTAGGATCCAGAAGATCTTTTCCAAACAACTCTTGTGGCAACTCAGTGGAATTTGATGAAGAAAGCAATGACACAGCCTGCATCTCTTTTCTTCCAGTTCTATCTTTTTGATCCATTTGTATGAGATATTTGAAACATGTATGTATGTATATATGTGATCCTAAAACATTTATTCTTCACTTACTTAGTTTTCCGAAGCTTTTAACTACATATTTTGTGGCCTTCATTGGTGGATGGAGTAGGTCGGTTGTCATTGAGATGACCAAAAACAGAACCAGAACAGGTCACAGCCACTCCATGGCCATCATTTAGGAGACCCTACAACTGCCTGCCATTGCGAGATCAGATCTTCCATACTAAGGTCATGTGACAACATCTAAACCAGGGATGGCCAAACTTTTTTTTTGATAAGAAGTCAAACTGTGAAATTCACTTGCTATCTTCCGTCTTTTCAGTTCCGCCATGCTTAATCAAGTGAGGTAAATGTTTTCATCAACTAGTAATCCATCACTGTAGTTTAAGTAGTTGTTCAAAATGGCAGCTCCTTTAGTGTTCAAACAAAGAAGTGCAATGACAGGATTGCTAGTAGAGGTTTAAACTAGGCTGTGCAATGTACATACAGTGCAATTCATTAGAAATAAGCTCAAGCCATATTCTAGTTTATTTTTTAAAAAATTCAGTAGTTTGGCCAACCCTGATCTAAACCTCCATGACTGGGCAAGGAATAGTCATGGGATGTGGTTGAAAGCTTTGGGCCTTTGTGATAAGAATTTTTTGTCAAGAATGAACATTGATGCTCGGTTTCTGTATTTTTCTCTGGGCAGAATGATGCTGCGAGTGGACAAACTGAAGAGTAGCAACACCTTGTTTCCTTACGTGGTCCAGAGGAGATGCCCCACGGATTCCCCTTTCTGGACAACTGACACAAACACAAGTGGTGGGCTAGCCATACTTTAGTAATTACTAGTGACTACTGCCCCTTTCTAATGAGCACAAAACACCCATTGATTCACAGAAGCAGGCTGATGTGACACTTAGAAACCCAGCTGAACAAAGGCTGCCAGGAAACACGGAGGACCGTACTGCTGCTGCCAGCAGAGGTGCGACAGCCACATTTAACAGCTCACAAGTGTTCAGTGAAATGGCCGCCAAGGCTTGGAGTATCCCAAACAAACCAGAGCTGAACTGGATAAACTTTACTCGCAAGCGAGGAGGCTTGCCTCTTTTTTTTTTTTTTTTTAAAGCTCATCTTTCTAGATATGAAATGTTTATTACCCTGCTGTGTCGGTTTGTGTTCAGTAGCAGTTAGACACAGTTGTGGGTTATCTATTTGGTGATTTATTTATGTGAAGTAGTCAGAGAAATATATGAGTGGTTAACATTCGGAACATGTAACAGTTTAGGTTGATGCTGAGCATCTCACTTAGAGTAGAATGTTTTTGTTACTTACAGAAACTAGACACAAAATATCTCTGCAGCCATGTTGAAAAACAATATCTTGTATGAAATGTTTTAGGTCTCTTTTCTGCAAACCAAGTGATTTCTCTATGTTGTAACGTGTCTGACAAGGACACAACGCCATACAGTTAAACTGTTGTAGATCTAAAGGTTTTACATTAGGTCATCAAGACCTCTCTTCAGTTGAGTGATGGTGAGGAAAGGGATCTTGACTCTTAATATGTTATTCACCCAAAACATTAATGAGGATCAGGGATGCTTTCACAACAGCAAAAGAGCTTTATGCTCCATAACCATAACCGTAACCCTTGCTTTGCTCCTACAAGCCCATTAAAGACCATCACTTATAAAGTTAGTGTGAGATAGTTGCCTCTGTAACCTCATCCTCAGCCCTTCCTCATTACCGGAGCTGCCTGAAAAACAGCTCCACTAGCAATATGATGCAAATGAATATCCATTTGGTTCCTTTGTAAGGAGCCCTCTATATACCTAACATTGGTAATAGAAAATTGTGAGTGATTAGCCATAATAGAAAATGTAAAAATCCATTAAATCCCCCTTCACTGTCAGCAATAATGTACAGTAGCTTAATCAGAAGAATGACATGGTATATAAAAGTCAGAGAGGCCAGCCAAATGAGCACTGGGTAATCACTGAGGTGTATCACAGAGGTTTCAGCTCGGTTTACAGTTAATAAGAAGGTGAAGTTGATGAAACTGACATATTTCAACCATTTCTGTGTCAGCTTTGTGCGGAGAAAAGTGAAAACAATTATCACATCTTTTACTTTAGAGCTGCAACTAATTATTTATTTAATTATTGATTCATCTGCCAATTATTTTCTTAATGAATCATTAAATCATTTTGTCTATAAAATAAGAAAAAATTGCCTGTGGCAATTTCCAGTCAGGTATTCATTACTTGTTTAATTCAGTCCAAACCCCAAAGATTATCATTCTAGTATCATATATGACATAGAAAAGCCTAAAATCCTCACATCTGGAACCAGTGAAACCTTAAAAAAGACTAACTTTTTAATGAGTTATCAAATAACAATCATCTACATTTGCAACTAAAGATTAATTTGATCACTGTTTAATCCGCTAATTATTTTCTCTATCAATAAATCATTTGGTTTATGAAGCGTCAGAAAATAATGAAAAACAATATTCTTAAAATTACTTGCTTTGTTCAACCAGCAGTCCAGAATCAAAAATATTCAATTAACTGTCACATCAGACAAAGAGAAGCAACAAATCATCACATCAAGGAGTTGAAACTAGGGCTTGAAAAATTACTTTTTTGAAATTGAATTCAAATAGGGCACTATTAGATAAATTGATTGATCGTTTCGGCTCTACAATCCTCACATTTAAAGGCAAAGTTATTACTTCACCCCCAAAATCTGAATTAACTGAGATGCATCCTCTGTAATGCATATAATGCTGTCCTTTCTGTCTGAGAACAAACAAAGCAGCTGCTGGTGCCAGACTGTAAGTGAGCGACAGTGTGTGAAGACCAGGCGGACAGGCAGTAGGCACAGTAGGCGAGGGGTGTCTGTCCCAATCATGCATCTGTAACTGGTAATCTGGCAGCTGCCGAGCATGCACGTGTACACAATCTCTGGTCCCTGCACACATAGCAGTGTCCTGGCTGAAAGCTAACAGGAGACACCGTCTTGACTCGACACAAAAAAATGTGCGGATGGAAACAAGCCAGCCACGAGACTTGGGTGTTGTCATCATACTTATCCTCTGTGTGGACCCTCTCAACAGAACTCTGGTCAAGTGCTGTGAGCGAGCCCTGCCAGCGTCATCCTCAGTTATCAGCAATAATATTCACATTTGCTGAGTTGTTGGAGCAAGTTAATTCCCATTTCAACGGCTTAGTTTAATTGCGTGTGCGCCCCAGCAGGCTTGTGCCATAGCTTTCAGGAGCAGAGGAATAGGATGTGTCCAAGGGAAATAATTGGCCCAAAGATCAGCAGTGGTTTTAAATTACACTTTCTTGCTCTCTCTCTGCAGCTGCCTCCTTAGTGTGAACAGCAGCAGCAAACAAGGAGGAGATTTTTCTAACAGGTGCAGCAGCACAAAGGGGATTTAATTGCTGGCCGATGCTGGATAAGTGTGGGAAAAATCTGATATGTTAGAGAACACGTCGCTTTTCAGGGCTTAATGCTGTGTGTTCTGACCTGTAATAAGGCACATAAGGTCTGTTCTTATCACCAATAAAGTCATAGTTACACCCAGGGGGGTAAAAAAAACAACTTCGTTTTGCCTCTGACAAGCAGTAGCAGGGTCAAAAAATGGATTCCCTCAAGAAGACACATACGAGGAATCTCTTAAAATTTCTTAAAATGTTACAACTTGGTTTTGTGATGTTTTCTGTTTTGTTGAAAACAGTCTTGACTCTGACCTGATGTGATGTGGTACTGTAAATTGTATCAGCTCAACCCTCTTCCCAAATACAAAAAAAAGAAAAACCCAAACAAACATAGAAAAAAAGGATGGGAAGAAGGGAACTCACATCTGTTTCAGTCTCTCCAGGTTGTCATGGTAATAGTTGCCTTACAGTTGAATACCCACCTGTACACAGAAACTTTGTAGTGGTTGATACCTCACTTTTTGGGTGTGGTGGTGATGGTAATGTGCACCACATTCTGTCTATGTATTTACTACTAGATAGAAAGTTCAGTACCGTTTTCAGTTGGATTGTTATTGCACTTGTTGACTTTGTATTGTCACGACAGGGAGAAATAAAGTTTTATCTTTTCCAGTGTGTTTAAATCCCTCTGTGTGATATTTGAAAGAGAAGAAGAAAAAAAAACTCATTAATTTCATTAATGCAAGCCCCCACAGAGGTACTGACACACATTTAATTGTATATCTTCAACTTTTCAAAGAAATAACAAAAAAAACAGCATATTGTTTTTGTAGTGCAGTATAAAGCTAATTAGCCTCAGCATAAATAGATGTGATATGGGTAAATGTAAGACAAAACTATTATTTAGATACTATAGCCCTGTTGCTTAAATTACATGCTTGGACAAACAGAGGTTAGATTTATGCTGTTTTTAAGGCATTAAGGTTTTCAAGCAGCATGTGTCAGTGATACATGTTACCAGAGAAAGGCTTTTGAGGATGTAAACTAATGAATGTGTTTGGCAAATGCAATACTTGTGTAATATTTTATACATTAAATTATAAACTGGTTGGCTGGGGTCCTGGAGTGTAAATTTCCAAATCTAATAAAGAGCACGACAGAGCTGAGTTGAGTTCCCTGCTTTATGATAAAGTAGAATTCAGGACAGGTTCCCACACAGTTGATATGCTAGATGTGAACAGGGCTAATGATATGCTAACTCTTGGCCTTTGAAGTAACAGCGTAGATTTCAACTTTCGGTAGTAAGCTAGTTAGCTAATTATTAAGCAACTAATTAGAGGTTAAAGGAAACATGTTTGTAATTTATGAAGTATTCAGTAGTGTTTTTGACTCGAGTGATGACCTTTTACTGCCTTTTGTCGGTCTGGGGACTCCATAAGCCTCTGAATAAACTGTGTTTGCTTTTATTTTTATTTTTATGGTCAATCAAAAAACCATGAGGTAATTTATCCTGCCTCAAAGCAGTGACCCTCTCTACCTGACAGTAGAGCCACATCCAAGGTATGGAAAAATCATTACAGCAAAGAGGTGATGGTGGAAAAACTAAGGTGAAAGAGAGACAGCGACAGGCTCCTTCAGACTTCATCACCTTGCTTCAAATCAGACATCTGCTGCTGCTCGCTTGCGTCAAAGGCCCCCGGCAACCAGGAAGGTTTTTACCACGTTGTGAAGGTCCCTTTGAGTTTTCTTAATAAGCTCTCACTTCTTCTTTTACCCAACCCTCATCCACCTCAGTTGGTCATCCTGAACAGGTTCTGCTCATTAAACTGCTTCCTCGCTCTGCCATCTCTCCTCCATCTGCGTCCTCCTTCTTCCAGTATGCCTGTAACCAACGCTCTTCCCATCTGCGCATAGGAAACCAATTGCTGCCATCAATCACCATTTAAAAACCATTGTCTGCCTTTCCACATCCTGCTGTTATTGAGCCTGAGATACATCCTGCCAACATTTGATCTATTAAAACTCCATTAGGCCATGTCTCTCTGGTGCCACGTCTCCTCTGGCCGGATCTTCTGTGGCACTGGCACTGCATTAAGATCCAACTGATGTAGATATTAATGCTACTGTTTCATGATGTCCATTTAAATTAGCCATTGTGAGTGCTGAAGTAATACTGCCATGGTGGACCACACCTAACTGATGCTAAGAAACATAAGAACAAAACAGTGTAGTGTCAGATGGACGTCTGGTTTTAGCTAATAGGCAATCAGGATGGTATATCCTCAGCCTTATCTACTATTGCAACTACCGTAGGACATTGTCTTCGGCAAATCACAATGGGCATTGCATGCTTATTGTTACATATTTTACTTACATATTTACATATTTATATTTTTATCTTATTTTTCATCTTGTTTTTTTATATTTCATATTTATTATTATTATAAGACTTAAATTTTGACAGGCTGTAGTGATTGATGGTAATTGGGTTATGCAGCTCAGTCCTCTACCTCACATGGAACAGATTCATTATGTAAATACAAATAATTAATACAAGTTAACATTTGGCGTCTATGTTCTTGTCATGCCCCACAAGCATACACCAAGTGCGACAATAATAAACTTAATTCCCCCAAAACTGTAGGGAATATACCATATAGTAGCCTAAATTGGGATTGACAAATCTTAATACCACAATCCACATGATGTGTAGCAGCAAGCTGAGATGCATCGTCTATGCAGTAGGCTAGATAATTATTAAGCATATTAAACTCACAAAAATACAATGTTTTAGGCAGATAATATCTTCTGAAATGCTATGTAGCAGTGATAAGCATCAAATGACCATCAGTACATTATACAGCAGCTGAATGCAGGCTCAATGACACAATGAAAGCAGTTCAGATGTAATTGATATGTTGATGTGAACAATAGTAAAACACATAAACCCATTGCTTTGAGATTAAATATTTCGCTAATGTTCAGATGATATGAAATGTGTGGAGAAAATGTGACATAGTGACAAAAGCCATACTGAGCTCCCCATGAAGCCCATATTACAGGGATATAATTATGTGAATGGGCTGTGTGCAGTCATGTTTACACCCCTAAAGCAAATATACAGTATTATTGTCTACAGACCTGGCTTGCCCTCAGAGCAACAGCAACAAGCAAGGGGTAAATATGCACAAAACCAGTTCAGACCCTGAGATTCATAACACTCAAACATGTAGGCCTATTCATATTTCAACAGCATGAAAGCATCACAATGTAAGTACCAAATATACACCAAAAGAAAAATGTCACTGTCAGACACTTCAAGAAGTTAATTTGCAAGGAATACCAATGCCAACACTTTAAATTGATTCACAGCAGCATAAAAGCAAAAAGACATCAAACTGATCTGAGAGAAAAATCAGAGCTAGTCTCATTGTTTATTGATACTCCCAAGCACACAAACACCAACTCAACAGAGCCAGCACATCATCTTAAAGTGTTCTTGTAATTTCACAGTTTAACATGAAACTAGACTTAAGACTTCTTCAACACATGTGTGCTGCGTCAGTGCTCCACTGCAGCCATTCTAGCCAATGCTTGCATTCACACCAGAAGCGCTGCAGTGTGTTACAGAACCGTCCCAGACAATGTTCTCTGCTGCACACAGAATAGCCAGCGAGTCTATTTTTCAAGCAGCAGATTAACCGGGCAGGAAGTCAGACACATAAAAAGCATAGAGAATCTGGTCAATTTTCAAAATAAAAGACCCTGTGCAGACACCCTATTTTATATCAACAATAAACACATTTAAAACAGACCTAAAAAGAAAAAAACTGTGTAAGCCTACTTAATCATCATAGAAGCACAAAAATCTAGGACAACTGATCAAATCAACACAATCTGAACATGTCAGCAAAATCAGGCAGGCAAAATGCTCTTATTCTGAAATGCTCCATGTGGGACATCAAGCCCTGCAGAGAACAGAACAAAACCGGTTCGCAGTGAGCTGTGATCTGTAATATTTAGTATAAAGGGCAAATAAACAACAAATCACACTCACAAACATTTTGTGTATTGCTTTTATATCTGTTTTTATTTCACAGTGCAATTTTCCTTTAATTGCCATTTTTTCTTTTATAATTCATCACAGTCTTTGTCAGTCAAGATAAAGAGAGCTATTTATCTGTAATTAAAATTAAACACTAAAGTAGAATTGCATTTAAAATCTACTTAAATTGTGAGCTATGCTAGTAATGAAAGCACAGATGATGGTGATGATTGCTGCAACAGCTCATGTGTTGCATCATTTTTATGGGATCGATGTCTGTTTTCAGCATGGCTCTTCTACTATACAGAAGCTCAATAGTGCACCTTGCAGGTGGTTGAGCTTTAATCTCTCCCATACTGTTGCCATTACCTTTTACCTCCAACACAACATGTGAGGGATGGGTTCAGGACAAACCTGTAAAAACTAACTGTGTTATTTCAAAGGTTAAAGAAATTAAATTGCTTTATCTTAATCATTCATTCACAATGTGTCCTCTGTAACAACAGTCTAACAATTATTCATTCAGCTGTGCAGCAACTTATTTAGCAACTTATTTAATTTAAATGTCAAAATTAAATAGCACTATAGCTTTGCAGTAAGAAGGTCACAGAAGTCACTGCTTGATATTTTCTGTGTGGATTTTGCATGATGTCCTCTGTATCTGTGTATCACTTAAAAAGATGCCGGTATTTGGTGTCAGCTGCTAAACCCCCAGCTCACTATAAATACTGAGGATGGGTCAAATACAGAGGACAAGTTTCCCCCAGGAGGATCAGTAGTCCGTTGCATAATACAAACAAGGGTAAACAGAACTTAGTTTTAATCATTCTGTCATTAATTATGACATTCATTACGTCCGCCTAGGTCAAATCACCAAAGAGGAAGTGTGGCTATTCAGTACAATTTATTTTCAGCAAAATAACAAGCTGACTCTTGGGAGAAAATAATGGGTTGCAGGGTTTTTTGTTGTTGTTGTTGTTGTTGTTTGTAGCTTTTTTTGGCAGAACTCAAATGCCACCAACGTACCTATTTTTTTAAAAGGCAAAAATGCATGGTCAATTTTTTCAGACGTCATGTATAAAATGGTATAGATGACATCCTAACAGATATTTCAGGATATCTTTACATTCAGTGGAAATTAGGGACTTTGTTTACTTTTAAATGTATATAAATTGCCACTTTTCTGCAGCAAGAGCATAATTTATTTGTAAACACATTACAAAACTGTAATAGAGCTTGTATTTATCGAAATGACTGAATACTGATTTCCCTCCTGCAGTTTTCATACACACCTCCTCCTACAATGTGTGCATTTCAAACAGAAACATAATCATAGGCAACACACTGATTCAAAATGCAAAAACCTATTCTAAACAGAGAAAATGCAAAATAGTCTGATATTGTAGATGTCTTCCTCTGATGCTCTGAACAGTCCTGTAACTGGGTTGGGGTGACCTTATCAATCACTGACCACTGATTGAGCTCCCCCAGCTCATCACTGTTTTCATTCTGGATACAAAGCCTGACCTTTCAACATAAAGGAGTCCTTTTCCTTAGCTCAGTCTGCATCAAAACATGTACAGAAAATGTACAGTTGTTCTCAATCTTTTTACCATTGGACCCCTTAACCTG